AGAACACATTCTAATATGACCTAGACCTTGACTTGATATCAATCTCAAAAATTAAGACTGGGAAGGAGAGCCTAGGAAGACAAATAAGGAGAGAACGGGAGATAGGAACAGAAAGGAAACAGAAAAATCATGTGGAAGAAAAAAAACCAAAGATAAGAGAAATCATGTGGAAGAAAAAAAACCAAAGATAAGAGAAGGCAATTTAATGACAAATAAAATAATCAATAAAATCGACAAGCAGAATAAGAATTAATTTAATGGCATAGTCAGAAAAAGACTAAAATGAGAATGTTTAGAATATTCAAAGAGATAAATGAAGATTATATTCATTTAAAAGAAAAAGATTATGAAACAGGCAGGCAGGGTTGAATCAAGGACAGGAAGATATGCAAAAGTAGAGATGCTGGAAATAAAAATATAGCAACTGAAATAAAAGAAAAAACTAAATGTGAAAATATCTAGAAATGGATAATTGGTGGTTTAGATGCTAACAGTAAGTAATAACTCAGATCCCAGCAACAAAGCTTTAAAAAATAAGAATATCATGTCTCTCCATTTGTATTTTATGATGTATAAAAGGTAGAAAAACTGTTGGTAAAACCCTTAAAAAAGAAAAAGAAAGAATTGCAGGTTAACCACACGAACATTGTTGTATTAATTCTAAATAAAACAACATAAAACTACCCTTTACTAGTGTGTTTTTAGAAACATAAACATGAATAATTCAATAATAATTCAACATCATAAAATATATTAATATAGTTCATACTAGCAAATGAACAGTGATAGTGTGATTCCCTTAAGAAATGCAGATAAAACTGATAAAATTCTACATTTGTTAACAATTTCAAAACAATAGCAAAATACAAAACTCAGAGAAAATTAGGAATAGAAGAGCAAGCATCATATATCTGTGAACCACTAGAAGAATTCCACTTAAAACAGAACTTATTGGGGACCAGTGTTGTGCACAGTGAGTAAACCAATGCTGTGACACTAGCATCCCATATCAGAATGTGAGGTTGATTCCTTGCTGCTCTGCTTCCTATCCAGCTCCCTGCTATGGAGCCTGGGAAAACAACAAAAGATGGCTCAAGTACTTGGGCCCCTGATACCCATGTGGGAGAGAGACCAGGATGGAGTTTCTGGCTCTTGACTTTGGCCTGGTCTAGACCTTGCTGTTGCAGCCAACTGGGGATTGAACCAGTGCATGGAAGATTTCTTTTCTCTCTCTCTCTCTCTCTCTCTCTCTCTCTCTCTGTTGCTCTTCCATTAAAATAAACAAACAAACAAACAAACAAATGAATCTTTAAAAAAAAACGTATCTGTGAGGCTGGCGCTATGGCATAGTGGGTAAAGCCAGTGCCTACAGTGCCATCCCATATGGGTGCCTGTTTGAGTCCTGGCTGTTCCACTTCTGATCCAGTTCTCTGCTAAGGCCTGGGAAAGCAGTAGAATATGGCCCAAGTACTTGGGCCCCTGTACCCTCATGGGAGACCCAGAGCAAGCTCCTGGCTTCTGGCTTCGGATAAGCACAGCTCCAGCTATTGTAACCATCTGAAGAGTAAACCAGTGAATGGAAGACTTCTCTCCCTCCCTCTGCCTCTCTGTAACTCTGCCTATTACATAAATAAGTAAACCTTAAAAATATTTGAGAAATGCAGAATGAGAGAGACAGACACATAGTGAGGAGTGGGGAAAGAGAGACAGAGAGAATGAGAGAGAGCAAGAGTGAGTGAGCTCCCATCAGCTAGTTCATTCCTCAAATGCCTCCAATAGTCAGAGGGCCAAAGCCAGGATCTGGGAAATCAGTGCAGGTCTCCCATATGGATGACCTGAATCCATCATGCTGCCTCCCAGGAACCACAATAACAAGAATCTAGAATTAGGAACCAGAGCTGGAAATTGAACCCAGGTATTCTAGTGGGGGACATGGTTGTCCTAACTGGCAGCTTAAATACTATGTCAGAATGTGCATAACCGACATTCCATTTATTTAGGAAGAAGGTGAGAATAGATACCAATCATCAATATACTGCAGTATTATATGGGTAGGAATAAACATCAAAAGAAAGGACTAGTCAAAAATGTCCTTGTTTTAGAAAATATAATTGTACTAAAGAAAGAAAATAAAAATCTAAGAAATTTATTCACCAATTATTATAATTAATAGGAGAATTCAGAAAGTTCATTGGATAAGACATTGAAATATAAAACTGAGTTGCACTTATCTCTACATGAAATAACTAGATCTAATACAATTAAAAATGAGATGTCGGCCAACACCGTGCTTCAATAGGCTAATCCTCCGCCTGCGGCGCAAGCACACCGGGTTCTAGTCCCGGTCGGGGTGCCGGATTCTGTCCTGGTTGTCCCTCTTCCAGTCCAGCTCTCTGCTGTGGCCCAGGAGGGGAGTGGAGGATGGCCTAAGTTCTTGGGCCCTGCACCTGCATGGGAGACCAGGAGAAGCACCTGGCTCCTGGCTTCGGATCAGCGTGGTGCGCAGCGACCATTGGAGGGTGAATCAACAAAAAAGGAAGACCTTTCTGTCTCTCTCTCTCACTGTCCACTCTGCCTGTCCAAAACACACACACACACACACACACACACAAAGCTATGAAAAATTAATGCATTCTGAAGAAGAGTAATATAGAGAAACTATCTTGTCTGGAACAATTAGTTTTCCATGAAATTAGATTCCTAATCACACTAATGCTTAAAAATTAGATCCAGGGGAAAGGAAGGGTTAAGTGTGTGAATATTAAAGAAAACTAAGCTATGTGGAAAAATTAGGAAAGTATCTTTGTGAGTGCAACTTATCTTCCTTAAACAAGACACAAAAAGCATAAATCATAAAGGAAATGTTTTAGGACTGTTGTTATACTAAAATTTAAATAAAATTAAAAAAACAATAAAAACAAACATTGAAGGAAGATTTTGCAACTCAACAGGTAACAAGAGATATGTATTAGCTGTGTAAGACATGCAATACTGTCCTACAACTCAGTAAAAGGAGACAATGCAATATAAAAATGGGCAAATCATGTGCACATGCTATTCACAGAATAAGTAGTTCAGATGGTCAATATATACCTGAGAACATGTTCATCACACTAGGAATTATTGATAAGCAAACTCAAATAAAATCACATTGGAAAGAAGAAATTTGACAAATAACTGAAGGAGCAGGAGTTTTTAGAACTTGTCAAAACAAATTTTGAGAGAAGCTTGTCAATAACTAGTGAAGGTGAAGAGAATGCCATACCTGACCCATTCCTATATGTAATCACAGAAATTCTCATACTTTTGCAGAAGGAATTATATGTTACTTGTGGTGTACATAGGGGGAATGAGTTTAAAACTTGGTGTATTTATACAAAGAAAAGTTTGAAACCTTTTTAAATAAGTGTGTTAGAGTATTATCCTGCAATAAATAAGTTTAAAAATTTTAATTAAAAAAGAAAAGAATAATAGATATATAGTAAAATATATGGATTAATATATATTTATATATAGAATGTGATACATTTTGTGTGACAACACACAAAAAACAAAGGTGACATATATTGTTACACACCCTTTATATATGGAAAATTTGAATACCATATTGGTATTTATCAGATTTTCAGGTTATTCAGATTTGATCAGTGTTTGTCTCTGAGAAAGAAAATAAGAAAATGGGAAGGGGAACAGTTTCTAGGAAAGTTCATCATTTTAAATATTATTTATACTGTTTCTTAAAATTATCAGAAGCAAGTATAAAAAAGTGTTATGAGAGCTATTGGGAGTTCCTGATGTTAATTCTCTTTGAATCTTTCCTGAATAGAAGAGAGGGTAAGAAGGGAGATGTTCATGGTGGAGTGGTGATTGTGGATTTATGGGTCATGAAGAAAATATTGGAGTTCAAACAATGTTACACACTCACTAAGTCTTCTAGTATTTGTTGCTCCACTTTCCAAAGTGTTGCTAAGTGTTAGGATTTTTTTTCTCTCTCTCTTTTTTTTTTCAGTGTTCTCTCCCTTTTCCATCACCTCTAACCACTTCCAGCTTAATAGCCACTTCCAGATTCAGACAAGTGGAGAAGGAGTATACCAGCATTTCTAGACACACTCTGCTAGGGGACTGTGACTGGAATTCACTTGTTACGATTGCAAAGACAATAGGCATTTTCAGATAGTAACTAGTTAGGACTGGAGGAGCCCCTGAACTCTTGGTTGGAGGTCTATGGAGATAGCCCCAAGAATGGGCAATTTCCTCATGCCTCACCCAATATTTCCCGTGGCCTAATGGGAATTGAGCTGTTGCCCAAGCTAGTTAAGTACTCTCTTTTAGTTATTTATTTTTTACCAGTGCATGAATTATACCAAGGGCATGTGATTTTACTAGCTGCTGCTTATTGGTAAGGGGCTCTTACAACATGAACTTCTGTAACAAGATGATCTGAGTATCTTAGGGAAAAATAATAATAGAATCCTGTAGTCTGAATAGGAAAGGTTGTATCCATGTTTCGGAAAAATGACATGAAGCAAGAATTTATGATTTACTCTGGATCATTCACTCAGATATGGCAGGGCTAGGGCTTCAGTTCAGTGTCTCATCTCATCATGGACAATCAACTTTCCAGAATTATCTAGCGCCCAAGTCAGGCTCAAAGCAGCTCAAACCCTGTGGGATAGGATGAGGCGCCTCTGAACTCAGGTAGTGTGTTGCCATAGCAAAGGCACTGGATTTAGCCACATATCTCTTTCTGAGACCTGGGGGTTCTACTTACTCTCTTGTGGCACACAGGCTTCTTTTTCTCTAGAAGGGAGTTGCATTGACAAACATTTCCTCAGGCAGATTCAAGTACATTTCTGGGTATCAACCTCTTGCATCCAGGTTGGGTGCACGTGACTTGTTCTAGCCATAGACTATCAGCAGAAGCCATATAGATCATCTGTGCATTGAGGAGCTCAAGCATGAATGTCTTTTCCATTCCTGCTTCCCCCATGTGTTCGCAGGATGTTGAAGATGAGAGGAAGGTGAAACCACAGATCCAAGGAGCATAGGTCCTGAATCACCTCACAGATGACCCCCACCAACCGGAAACACCTGTATGGGGTTGTAAGACTGTCAAAAGGTAAGAATTGTTGTATAAAGTTACTGCAATGCTGTTGCTTATTTATTATAGCTGCTGGCCTTGCTTTCATCAGTGTACAAAATCCGTGACTTTTGATCTATCACTCTTTCCTCTTTACTTCAGTGTCTATCTGAATAGAGAGCAGTAATCGCAAGATTCACACAGGATTGTTGGGGGTCTCCAGCGGGATGTAGGACAGTGCTTATAAACTGTGGTGTGCTGTCACTCTGAAGCAAATTGAAGAGAGTAACTGGAGCTCCACAATGTAAATATCTTCATAGCAATTAAAGAAGGCAGAATACGAATCCTTTTGCTGCCACCATCTAAATAGAATCAGATTTAGGATTTAACTGCATCACTCTCTGTAACTCCTTCAACTTCATGCCTGCATCCATTTATCACCACCTTTGCCATGGGTCAATATATCAAAAACAAACAGCAAGAAAAAAAACTGGGGCCAGCAGTGTGGTGCTGTATGTTAAGCCACCACCTGTGATGTTGGCATTCCATGTGGGTGCTGTCTCAAGTCCCAGCTGCTCCACTTCTGATCCAGCTCCCTGTTAATGTGTCTGAGAAAACAGCAGAGGATAGCTCCAGCCAGTCAGGAGGGAGACTTGGATGAAGCATTTGGCTTCTGGCTTCAACCTGGCCCAGACCTGGATGGACCATCTGGGGAATGAACCATCAGATGGAAGATCTCTCCCAGTCTCTCTCTCTCTCTCTCTCTCTCTCTCTCTCTCTCTCTCTGTGTGTGTGTGTCTCCCTCTCTCTCTGTAACTCTGCTTTCAAATAAATAAATAAATCTTAAAAAAAAAAGCCAAACAACTAACCTGTAAATAATTCAGTTCCTACCACATTCGGAGTATGGAGTTAAGATATTCTGATTTTTATGTTTTTAATTGCAACAATTAATATTTATTTTGGTGTCTATTTTTCCTATTATGAAGGAAAGGATGAAAAACATCCAAAAACAAAAAAAAAAATAGCCAATACCATTTCAGTTATAATCACTCAGGAGTGGATATTTTTCAAGCCTTTTGTTGTCTATACATATGTAAATTTCTGGATCCCACTCTACATGCTACTTTGTAAATATGTTCTCTTCACTGAAAATATCAGGAACATTAATTTCCATGTCAATAAATACAGAACTACACCATCCTTTTTAGTGGATATGAGTATTTGGATATTTGATTATTTAGTGGGTATGGCTATTTGGAAATTTGATATTTATTCAACCAATTCTCTACTGATTAATATTCAGGTCATTTAATCTTTTTGATATCATGAATAACACTGCAGCATTATTTTTTGTGAATATATAAAAATTTGATATATTTGCTTGGTTATTTTCTCAGGAGAAAATCCTAACATTTGCATATCTACATCGAAATAAATGTACATTTCCAGTTTTTTCATTCACAGTGCCCAATTAACTTCAGAAACATTTTTGTCTTTTTGTTCTCCAATAAGACCAAGTATTTACATTTCTATTTCTAAGAATTCTCTGTGTATGAAAACATGAAAAAAAATAATTAGCACCACAGGCACTATCCTTTGTTCTAGTCTTTCAACTTAAAATATATCCCAAGATATCCTTGTGTCCTGGGACTCCTCCCCACCTCCCTCTTGGTGTCAGCTCCTCCCTCAGGAAATGAGCCCCCATGCTGGTTACTTGTTGCTGTGAGACTTCCACAAACCTGTGCACCCAGACCCACTTCACTCAAAAGTCACTTGTTGGCTCTGGTTCCTCTTTCCCCTCTTCTGTGTCCAGGCTAGAATGCCGATGGCAAAGATTTTTCTCATGTAATATTTAGGGAACATTTTAAAAAAAGATTTATTTATTTGTTTGAAAGGCAGAGTTACAGAAAGAGAGAGAGGGAGAGAGAGAGAGAGAGGACACACACACATACACACACAAAGAATGAGATCCTCCATCAGCTGGTTCACTCCCCAAATGATACAATGGCCAGAGCTGGGCCAAGCCAAAGCCAGGAGCCTGGAACTCCATCTGGGTCTTCCATATGGGTGGTTGGGCCCAAGCACTTGAGCTGCCTTCCTTTGCTTTCCCAGGCACATTAGCAGGGAACTGGATAGGAAGCACAGCAGCATGGACTCAAACTGGTGCTCATGTGGGATGCTGGCATCACCTGCAGCAGCTTAACCTGCTATGCCGCAACACTGGTACCAAACTTTGTTTATTTTAGAGGCATAGGGAACAAGAGAGAGGACAGAGAGAGAAAAAGAGGGAACTCCCATTTACTGGTTCATTCCCCAAATGCCAACAACCACCCACAGTTTGATGGCTGGGAACTTGATCCAGGTTTTCCATGTAGGTGGCAGGGACTCAGCTATCTGAACCATCCTTGCTACCTCCTAAGACCTGTGGTAGCAGGAAGCTGTTGGCAGGAATTGAACTCAAGTACTCCAATGTGGAGCTGTGGGACCTTGGGTATCTAAATGGCATCATAACTGGTAAACACCCATCCATAGAGGAACATTCTTTAATTGAGGTAATTCATGCTAACCTGTGAATGTCAGAAAAGAAGTTAACTTAAGGGGTTAACATAAGGATTTGCTTAAAGGTTAGTTTATGGGGTTCACTCTCAGATTTTCCAAACTGCTAACAAAAAGGTCTTAACACTTCTCTCCCACTGAGTGACTACTTTATCAGTTCCATAGGCTAGGACAGCCCTAATTAATGAATATAATATTGATCACTTAAATCAGTTTTCATGGTGTTGAAGTTATAATTAAGATAATCACTGTTATCAATTAATATTGAGCTCCTATTCCATATGTGATGGGTTATTTTCTTTCCAACAAAACAAAGAACATGTAACCTAGCACTCATGAATTGTGTAATTCAATTGAAACAACACAGATGACAAATACAGAAATGGAAAAGGAAATAAGTGAAGTGTATTCAAAATTAACAGCCACAAAATGGCCCAAGTGCAACGTGTGAGTGACTGAACTGCATGTGACTGGTTTGGGGTGTGGAAAAGCATGTTGTGTCATTGACTGAGTGGCATCAAGCTTGCTACCTAGAAGGCAAAAATAAATGAAATGTTTCTTAGTCTTTATTGTTATCAGTCTTTAGGTAAATAGAATTAAATAAAGGTATTGAAGAGGACGACAGTCTTATTTATCTTCAGACTATAAATATGGTCATTAGTAGAATGTGGACACCTATCAGAGAAATAGAGAGGACTTTGCAAGGACATTTAAACAGTTCCATTATAATTTTCAAGAAATCTTTAAGGGTGGTTAACCTGTTTGCAATATTTGTTGATTTTATGGGCTATTGATTAAAAATGATTACTAAGAGATGATCACTCTGATTCTCAATTTGATGATCATTAAAAATGATCACCTTAACTCACAATTTTTAGTTTTGTGAGTTCTGCTATGTCTTACCTGGGTCAGAAACAACTGGAATTTTGGGTATTAAAATATATCATAATTCTGTTGACTCATCATAGTAATGCAACTAATGAAAAAGACATACGGGTCTTCCATGTAGATCCTAAGGACTTTTGGTATCACATAGGAAAGATATTAGTGCTATTATCAATGCCATTTTTCAATTACTAAAGAAAGTTACAAATTACAGTAGCAAACCTAGGATATTAATACAGGGTTTGGTAGCTATTTGGAGTTTGAGAAGTATGTCAGTAGCATTTTTATTATAATTGTGCAATATATCGCTATGCAGGAACAAAAAAGAATGAGCTATTGATAACTGCCAACAAGTCAGAATGAGCTTCTGAGATGCACAACAGTGTGAATATCATTCAAGTCCACTCTCCTATTGACAGAAGTTTATTGATGCTGCAGTTTTAGGCTGCTATGAATAATTCTGCTCAGAACATTCTTGTTCAAGTCTTTTTAGGCATATACATTTATTTATTTTTGCTGACATACCTAGAATGGAATGTGTACTTAAATTTAACTTTATTAGAAACTACCAAGCAATTTTCCAAAGTGGTTGTACCATTTTCCACTTTTACTGAGAGCATATGAGAGTTTTTCATGCATACCAGCACTTGGTTCTGTTCTTGTTTACAACAGCATCCCACTATGTGTGTGGTAATGCCTCATTATGGATTTTTTAATTTATATAAGTGGAAAAGGTTTCCTGTATTTCATATATACAGTTTTAAGAACATAATGATACTCCCTACCCTCCCATCCTCCCACTTTCTTTACTACTTTTTTATTTTTCTTACTTTCAATTTATTTATAATCACAAGCTTAATCCTCCAAAAAATAAAGAATTCAACAAATAGTAAATAGAAAGACAGTATTCCTCAGGAGTATACATAACAGCTATAAACAATAATCAAATCTCAAGATGTTAGTTTCACTCATATACATTACATTTTTATACTCTTTATATTAGTTACTATAAATAAGGGAGAACAAATTGTATTTGTCTTTTGGGGACTGGCATATTCGCTAAGCATTATGGGTTCCAGTTGTATCCATTTTGTTGTGAAAGACAGTATTTCATTCTTTTTTATGGCTAAGTAGTATTTCATTGCATTTTTTAACCTAGGCATCTGGGTTGTTTCCACATCTTAGCTATTGTAAATTAAGCTGCTATAAACATGGGGGCACAGATAATTCTCTCATGTGCTAATTTCATTTTCTTTGGTAAATTCTCAGGAGTGGAATGACTTGGTCATACAGTAGATCTATTTTCAGATTTCTGAAGAATCTCCATACTGTCTTCCATAATGGTTGTACTAGTTTACATCCCTACCACCAGTGTATTCAGGTCCCTTTTCCTCCACATACTCACCAGCATTTGTTACTTTGTATTTCTGTATAAGAGCTATTCTAACTGGGGTGAGGTAAAACCTCTTTGTGGTTTTGATTTGCATTTCCCTGATGACTAGTGGTCCTGAGCATCTTTCATGTGTCTATTGGCCATTTGTATTTCATCCTTTGAAACTTTCTGCTCATTTCTTTAGCCCATGTCTCAACAGGATTGT